AAAACATTCAAGAAAAGAAACAAGATCAAAGGTGGTTCTTTGGGAATATCAAAAAAGTTAGCAAACCTTTAGTTGGACTGACAGAAAAATGTGAGAAGACTTCAAATACTAAAATTCAGAATGAGAGAGGGACGTCTCCGTTAAACTTACAGACATGAACTCAATTATTAGTAAACACTATGAACAGTTGTATATCAACAAATTAAGATTATCAAGCTGAAATGAGCACATTCTGGAAAAGACACAGATATCAAAACAGACTGAAAAACAAAAGAGCCATAACAAGACACTGAATTTTTAAACAAAAAGACTTCCCACAAAAAAAGTCAGATAGCTGGTGAATTCTACCAAACTTAAAAAGTTAGAACCAATACCCTCTCAAACTTTTCCTAAAGGCAGAAGAGGAGGGAAGACTGCGAATCTCATTCCATCAGGTCAGAATTACCCTGATATCAAAATCGGATAAAGAGGGGCTGAGGAACTAGCTCAGTCACTAAAAGTAATTGCTGTGCAAGTATTAGGATCTGAGTTTGATCCCTAACACACACATAAAAAGCCAGGTGCACACCTGTAATTCCAGCACATGGTGGGCTCGCTGGCCAGCCATCCTAGCCAAATTAGTGAGCTCTGTTTCTGTGAGAGACCTTGTTTCATTAAAAACAAAGTGGATGTTGCCTGAGGAAGAAGAGCACCTGAGGTTGTCCTCTGTCCTCTACACACATTCACACCCAATGAACACGCACACATACTTGCGTATATACACAGACACAGAAAACCAGATGAAGAAATTACAAGTAAACAATACATACATACACAATCACAAAAAAAAACCTCAACAAAATAATGGCAAACTGAATAAAAAGGACCACAGCATTATGAAGTGGGATTTATCCAGGAATGCAAGATTAATTTAATGCCTAAAATTAAACTAGCATCATCGGGCTGGTAGCACATGCCTTTAGCCCCCAGCACTTGGGAGGCAGAGGCAGGTGGATCTTTGTGAGTTTGAGGCCAGCCTGGTTCACATAGTGAGTTCCAGGCCAGATGGGGCTACAGGGAGATCCTGTCTCAAAAAGACAAAAAAAAAAAAAAAAAAAAAAAAAAAAAAAAAGCCTCACTAAAATTAAACTAGAAGTGGAATGATGAGAACCATATGATCACCTTAATAGATACCAAAAAACACCTGACAAATTCAACAACCTTCAATGATAAAAGTATTCAATAAACTAGGAAGAGAAGCCTTTCTCAAATAAAGGCATTTCTGAAGAACTAGGAAATCATATTTCATTTTGTAGTGAAAGCTTCCCTATCAAATCAGGAACAAGGAGCTGAAGAGATGGCCCAGTGGTTAAGAGCACTTGCTCTTCCAGAAGACCTGAGCTCAGTGCCCAACACCCATGTCAGACTGCTCACAACCACCTACAAGTCCTGCTCCAGGCCCTCTTCTTGCCTCTGATGGAATCACACACATGTGTGCATCACCACACACAGGCACATGCACCTACACATAAAACAACAGTAAATCTTTAAAATCAGGAACAAAGACAATGATCTGTGTTTTTACCATTTCTTGTGCATGAGTGTGTGTGCATATACATGTGCACATGTGTGCAAGTGTGTGTGGAGACCAAAGGACAACTCAGCTGTCATTCCTCAGGCAACATCTACCTTATTTTGTTTTGTTTTGTTTTCGAGACAAGGTCTTTCACTGGCCTGGGGCTCACCATGTAGGGAAGGCTGAGTGCCCAGGGAGCCCCAGAGATCTACCTGTCTCTGCTCCTGACTGCTGGGGCTACATGCTTACTTTTTCCTTTGTGGTCACATGCATGTCTCTTTTCTGCCTATTTGCCTTGGCTAGAACATCCAAAACCATACTGAAAGAAGTGGTAAGAGGGTTGGGATAATAGGCCAGTTGGTAAAGTGCTTATCTTCCAAGAGCAAAGACCTGACTTTGTTCTCTGGAACTCAAGTTTAAAAAAACAAAATAAAAACGTCAGGCACAGTGGCACACACGTGTAATCCCAGCACTGAGGAGGCACCTAAGGAACAGCAACTATACATGCACATATGAAAGAATGGAACTGAACCGTTCCCTATATGACATGCATATAACTGAAATGGATTTAAAACTCCTAAGGACAACACAGCAGAAATCTTTGTGAGCCTAGGTTAGACACACATAACAAAACAAAAGCATTCCTAGCAGAACAAGAAGAAGGAAAAGAAAGGACAAATACTAATTTCATCAAAATCATAAACTTTTGGATGCTAACAAAATCATCCAGAGTGTAGAAAGACAACTCACAAAAAGAGAAAAAATATTTGCAAATAATTTATCTGAAAAGGGACTTGTATCAAGACAGAAATTTGGGTATGATGACCATGCCTATAATCTCAGCTCTCAGAAAGTTAAGGCAGGAGGATTACAGAGTTAGAAGCCAGCCTGTACTACTACATAACCAGTTCCAGGTCAGCCTGGGCTTTGTAGTGAGATCCTGACTCAAAAACAAACAGGAAACACACATATAATTTTAAAAATTCAATAGCAAAATTTATATATCAGGAAAATGATTTGCAATTCCTCAGAAATACTAAACATAGTTACTATACAACCTGGCAATTATACTTCTCCATATACACCCAAGGAAAATGAAAATTAAATCCACACAAACACTAGCAAACATTTTCATAGCAGCATTATTCATAATACGCAAAAGTAGAAACAACCTGAATGCACGTCAGCTAAGGAGTGGTAAACAGGGGGTACATCTGCAGTAGACCATCATCTGGGAATAAAAAGGAATAAAGCACTAACACTGTCATCCCATGGACAGACCTCGAAAATATGCTAGGTGAAAGGCACTGGTCAAAGGAGAACAAAGTGTATTTATTTTACTTACATGAAATGCAATAAGCAACTTTAGAGAGATGGAAGGAAGATGAATAATTGCCTCAGATCAGGGAGAACTGGGTACAGGGGTTTCATTTGGGGAAGGTGATGATACTGTGCATTAAGACTGTGCAGAGGGGCTGGAGAGATGGCTCAGCAGTTAGGAGCTCTGGGTGCTCTTGCAGAGGACCCAGGTTTGATTCCCAGCACCCACATGGCAGCTAACTCCAGTTCCAGAGGATCCAACACCCTCTTCTGATCTCTGCGGGCACTGCATGATATGGGTACACTTACATACACACGAGCATAACATTCATACACATAAAAATAAATAAATCAAGTCAGGCATGGTGGCGCATGCCTTTAATCCCAGCACTTGGGAGGCAGAG